TGCAATTGAGTACACTGATGTCCTGTCTGCAGTAAGTAGCACAGTGAATGCTAATTTATGCAAATTAGTTTTTATTGGGGATTTTTACAAGTCTTCTCGTAGATAAGCCGCACCCCCGATTTGGGAACGATTTTTTTGGAAAAAAAGTGCGGCTTATACATGGGTAAATACGGTACATGTTATCTTGTGGATCTTCACAGATGTCTCAATTACCTCATCTTTATGGTTCTTCTCAAGGTCTTCCATGTCTTCTTCCTTTTCTTTCAAGGTTCTTTCTGCTTCACCTAGCTGTATGGTGAGGTTTTCCAGTTGTTTGGTTTGTCTGTCAATTGTCCCATCAGCTGTTTGCAGTCTTTCCTTGAGACTTGCGATTTCATTGGTTAATGAAGTCACTTGAATCTGAAGTCTGTGCAATGAACAAATTAGATTAGCAAAGAAAACACCAGTTACCACAAAACAGAATTGTCACTTGTAAACAATAGATTCCAAAGAAGTTCACTACTTTGAGAGATAGCAGAGTTTTTCCATTGATGCAAGACGCAATAGGTTAACTTGCAATTATGATACAATTTACAACACAACAAAAACAATAGCTCACTTCTGAACACTGGTCTTGCCTTGAGACACCAAACTTTCCTATTGTGTAAGATAACGAAAATTTAATTATCAACCAACAAAGCCAAACAACATAAATGTTAATATCCAATAGCCCTAAATAACAAAAACATCATGAAAACAAAGAGGCAAGCATATTAATCTTAACCATAAGAGACAAAAATACATGTTGTAGTTCAGGTTCAATATGATTTTGAACCAGTTCAATTTCTTCGGAACTGGTTCAGTTTATTTTGAGCCAGTCCAATATAACTATAATATCCAGTACAAATCAGTTTAGGGTTAGGGTTAGGGTTAGGGTTGGGAATAGGGTTGAGACAGTGCATTTATATAAAAATTTTCTTCATTTAATAAATTACAATTAAGATAAAAAACAATTTGCAAACATTAACTACCAACAAAATCCTTGATGGTATAATTGGTAGTACTGTGGACTATGAAGCAAGAGCTCAGTGGTTCAAACCCTGATTAAGGTAAGTGTTATTCATAAAATTAAAAAATAGAAAATATCAACATTTCTGTGGGGTATAGGGTAAGATAAAGTAGGAAATAGTAGAAGGTAGAAAATAAGATGATAGATAGAAAATGAGAGAGAATGAGATGGGATATAGTTCTTTTAAGAATGCCAAAGCAAAAAAAGAAAAAAAGACCAGTACAAGAAGTCTTGTACTGGAACAAATTAGATTAAACTGGTTCAAAAATATATTGAACATGAACTACAACCAC